TGTGTGTGTGTGTGTGTGTGTGTGTGTGTGTGTGTGTGTGTGTGTGTGTGTGTAACTGTACTTGCTTTCTTGGACACTAACTCAAAAGTCAAAAAAGTCATGGTTTTCTGTCCTCCTCTCAGCCGGCTCCCTTCTCCAGGCAGTTGCCCTGATGCGTGACTTTGTCTGATCCATGTTTTCTTTCTAACTCTAATTCAGTGCCGGCTGCTCTAGCACAGGACTGGAACTCCTAGCACCCAAGTCAGGTATCGCACAACCATGTGTAACTTCAGCTCTAGGGGCTCCAATGCCCTCTTTTGGCCTCCACAGGTACTGCACATTTGTGTACATATACACACATATACACATAAATAAAAATAAATCTTTTTTTTAAATGACATTCAAGCATCCTGAATCTTAGTCAGTTAGTTAGTTAGTTAGTTAGTTAGTTAGGTTTTTTAGAGGGACAGAATCTCTTTATGTCATCCTGGCTGTCCTGTAACTCCCTATGTAGATAAGGCTAGCCCAAAATCACAGCACTCCTCCTGCCTCTACCTCCAAATACCAGGATTAAAGCTGTTTGCCACCACATCCATCTTATGACTCCTTTAGAAATCAGTGTGCTAATGAGACTAAGAACTCACAACAGGGAACCCCAACTCTTCCTTAACACCCTCATTCTCTCTAAATATGTACCCGCCATACAGCTGCTCACAGACTTCCACCGCCTTCTTTCTAAGTTAGGAAGTAGACTAAGAGAGAGATGGCACAGTGATTAAGAGCACTTGTTACCCCTTCCTGAGGTCCTGGATTTGATTGCCAGCACCCACCAGGGCAGTTCATAGTCATATGTAACTATTTCCCGGGTTACTTTCCTAACCTCCGTGGGCGCCAGACACACATGTAGTGCACAGACAGACCTATATATATTTTTTTTTAAAAAGAAATAAACAAAGAGTTAATTCAGCAAGCATGGCTTCCTCTTATCCACATCCTTCCACCTGGCAGCCGCTGAGATCTCTAGCTTCCCTGGGGTGTAGCTCTTCTCCTAAACTATTAAAATCATCCTTGAGTTTCCTGCTTTATTTTATTAAACCTCTTTTTCTGTCTGTAGGACCACTGTGAAAGGTACCCTTGTTTTCCCCAGTAACGTCATGAATATCATCCACTATGCTATCTAGGTGATTATTTAAACCCCTCCCTTATTTGGTACATCCTCCACTGTGAATACATCAAAATTTATTGTCTGCATTGTCTTTAGCGTAGAAGCTTAGTATGTAACACAAGTTAGCATCAAATTCTTGCCAATCCTCCTGTCTCAGCCTTGAGTGTTGGGATAACTTGTATGACCCTCTCTATATTTGGAGGACATTTTTTTTTTTACTAATACTTGGTCGTTGTAAATAGTGTTCCAAGCATCGTTCTTACACACCCATCTCTAGATAATTACTCCTTTAGGATAGAGTCCTAGAGAAGGAGCTAAAGGTAATAAGACATTAGTAACTCTTTTTAAAGATAGAATTTCATTATCCCTGATTAGCCTCCAACTCTCTCTGTAACCATGCCGACCTAGAACTTCTGATCATTCAGTCTTCCACCTCTGGGTGCCTGACTTTACAGCTGTGTGTCACCATGCCTAGTTTATGTGGTCTTGGAAATGGAACCAGGTCTTTCTGCCTGGTAGGCAAGCACTCTGTCAATGGAGCGTTATTGCCACCCCTTAACATGGTGTCAGCCAGGGCCTAAGCAACAGCTTTGAGCCTGGGTGAAGACAACAGCAGACAACACTCGTGCCCTGCCTACTTTCCTTTAGATTGTTCAGCTGCTATGGCCCGCTGGCCCCAGAAAGCAAGGATCGTTTTTGGTACCACAGAATCAACCTTGAATTCCCTTTCCTTGAGAGATATCTTCATTAAAAATCCAGGCACACTCACTATCTTGGCCAGATCTGAGATCTGAGACGACTCTGGTTCTTGGACTCAGGTAGGATGGTTCATCAGTTTTTAAACACAGTGGATTTTTTTGAACATGTTATTGATAAGTAAAATAAACCAAAGAAGAGGACGTGATACTTCAAGAGTGGCAGACTGACGTCAGTCAGGATAAATAATTAGTCATGACTCATTCTGGAAAATACAGGTTTCCCTGAATTCATGCTTCTCCAGTGCCCTTGGGTACTTTACCCACACTTCCTGGAATCAGCTCTCTTTCCATTTCTTTAGATATAATCTTATGTTCTGGAGAGAGAGAGAGAGAGAGAGAGAGAGAGAGAGAGAGAGAGAGAGAG